GGTATATGTTTAATTAAAAATATGCTTAATAACATGCCTAAATTGTAATACGATATGTTTGAAGTTGCTATTATTGTCTGAAAGAGCATTGGAAATCCATCTTTTTTTTTTCTTTTTTTAATATATCTGACTTAAAATCTAATTAATAAATGCCATTTACTTTTATTTTATAATAAAGTAATTCCTATATACGTGAACCATGCGAGAACGAAATAATTCATAATAATAATGAACATGAGGATCAAGTTAAAGAGCTTAAGAAAAAAAATAAAGAAATGCAACTTAAGATCGATGAGCTCGATAAACAAGTCAACCATTTAACAATTGAAGCAGCAAGACATCAATCTGCATTGGGCAGAGCAATAAAAGATAATGATCTTAGCAATATCAGTCAACTTAGGAATGATATTGATGTCTTGAAACAAAATCTCGAAGAATTCTGCATGGTTAAACCTGCTGATGACTTTGATATTGATTTGAATGCTGCTACCAATCTTTTAGAAAAATGTGCCAGTGTAAAAGCTTTTAGAGACAACAATAATTACGTATCTAGTATAGCTTATGTTCTTGATGAAGAACATTTGAAAACACTCGTTCATGGTGCTCTGCAAAGATTGGTTATTGAGTCAGTAATCAGACACGTCAAATATTTGGGGGAATATCTGGGGAATCTTGAAGTTAACATTATTAATCAAACTGATGATCTGCTAAATGTGTTGAACAATTTGATCAACTCCCGAGTAGGCAATGATGATATTTCTCGAATCATGCCAACCAGACTGCGACAACAAGTATATTCAATTCTAGATAATCGTGGATTCAACCCCATTAAAATTAAAAATATCACCACTGAACATCCTTTTATAAGTATATTTAAAGAAGAAATTATGTCAGCAATTAATGAAATTCGAGTTATAAAGAATTGTGACAAACTAAAAAGAATAAATGATATGGCAGCGGAACTTATTCGTGACATTATAAAAATCTTCTTTTTCCGACTAAAAATTCAAGAACAAGTGGCAGATCCACTGCATTGGTTCAAATTTAATGATCCAGTAAATTTGTCACTTATGGAAGGTGCATTTGGATCCGATGATCGTCATGATATGGTGGTACAAATTTGCACATTTCCACTTATTACTGTTAGCAATAAAAAGCACGTAGTTGCTCGAGCAAATGTACATGTAATTACCAAAAACAATATAGAACCGTGAGCAAGAAATCTAATCATTGAATTTTTCTTAATAAATTGTCTCAGTTCAATTTTAATTAAAGAATTTTAACCAACTTAGTATGTAACTTTGCTTTGCTAATGGTTTAAAAGATTTATTACTAGAGTACAACACATTATCCCTTAAACCGACTAGCGTGCAAATTTGGATGCTTAAGTTTTTTTTGTTCTATGTTTTTCCATTTACTCTAAATTTTATTAAGCCTCACCCCATTTTCTAAGCTAAAATAAAAGCATGCCACATGTTGGTTGCTATTGTTACGGGTTCCCCGTAACAGATTGCTGGGACTTGGTTTGTACATTACCAAATCGTTCCTAAATTTGTAAGGCTTAAGTTCCAAGAAGCTGTGGCGAGAGTTTGAAACTGCAGTTTTATATTTTCACCGAAACTGTAATCAGTTTAATCTATCGTCGTGTAAGTTTCTTGATAGTTTTTAAAAATGCATATAAAGAGTGCCTTCTTATTAGGGTTGCTGGTGCAGGTGGCGTCGCCACTGGTGCAATGCTTTAAATTTATATGATAACTTAATGGTGCAGTAGTG